TTCATTGTTGGATGGGATCAGCTTCAGCAACTCAGCACAGGTTGTTTGGACGGTTTGGCGTCCTTCTTTTGAACTGTAACAAAAACCTTATCTCAACAATTAATTCTCTAATAATGTTATCTGACGAAATTTTTTTCCACACCTATCTATGAATTTTGTTATGTATATATATAAAGGGAATCTTTTACATTTTATCTACATGAGGAAAACAAACAAGTGATTGAACACTACGTGGCAGTAGTGAAGTTAGGTACTTGAAAATGATATCTCAAACAATTTATCATCCAGGGATGATAAGGACATATAGTACTTAATATTTGAATTGTTTATTAACATGATTAAGGGTTTATTTGACATTGTATTTGATTATTGAAAAACCTTTTTTTTTGTTATCCACTTCTTTTTAAATTATAATTAGAATAAAATATTCATATGATCACTTAATTATTACTTCTTTCAATTTTGACCATTCATTTTGATTTTTTTCAATTAGATCACTTAATTATTTAAGTGTGACAATCAAACCACTTATTGTTAACATTTGAAAGAGACGACTATTAAATTTTTTATAATTACATATTTGGTCCTTAGTACTTATGCTCTATCAATTTAATATTAATTTTAATTCAATTAAATAATTTTAATATCCAATTAAATAGTGACATGTTTCACCACATGATCGAATACAAAATAAATTAAAGAAATAATATGCAGCTACAAGATCAATTCCAAGACTTAAGGATCCTCTAGGTGCACCAAAACCACAGGGGAAAACACCTCGCTTGTTAATAGTTTACAACATTTTCTATATAACCTATTACAACTAATGACAGAAAAATATAAGTAATATTCTTATAGGGAGATTCAAACCTAAAGATATATATATATATATAAAGTTTTTCTTAAAAAAAACCAAGACTTATATTTTTATATTTTAAATTAGATTTTATTTTTATAATATTTTATATACAATAATTAAATTATTTTTTAATTTAATTAATAATTTTAAAATTTTATTACAAACTAAATGTACGACTCATTTGTTAATTAGTAATTATGTAGGAACCAAGATATATAGTTCAGGGGTCAATTTAAAAAAACCCCTTATTCTAGCTAGGCTAAAGAGTAAAAATAAGAAGATTTTAATAAAAAACACTAAATTAACCATCTAATAAACTCACATTTAATTAAGTTGTTAAAAAATAATTAAATGCATCTGTTAATAATTTCTGTCGTTGATCTAATTTATTATTAAATAAAAAATACTTGATTATAAAATAAGTGTCTAACTATAACGTTTTACCTACATAGGTGTCTAAACCATTTTTTAATCATACAAGTACATAATGTTACAAACGTTACTATTTTAGGTGCCCAGGACGTAACAGCTATTAAAAATTCGTTAAGTGAAATGTGTCACTCTGTGGTATTTTTTAATTTTTTTTAAAAAAAATTATATTTATTACAAAAAATTCTAAAATTACAAAAAAGCCTCAAATCCCTTACCCTAACCTCCTTTACCAGCCACAATCATCGTCATAGTTGCAGTTGTCGTCGCCCTTGCCATATCCCTAGTCGACTGTCGTGTAACACTCCCAACCCGTATCCGACCCAGATACGAATCTAATGTGTCACATTGACTTTTCAAAACTTGACTTGTTGAAAAGTTATTGGAAATTTAAACTTTTACTTATATTTAATGGTGAACCCTTATACAAACATTTACATTGAAATTTATAATCACAATGAAAAAAAATACTTACTATATTTTATTACTTTAAAATAGTGTACTTACAAAACAGATCAGAGCATAACAATTTAAAGCTTTACAATACATGACAACAAAATCACAAAATAATAATAAACCTACAGTTCAAATTTGGTTTGATATGATCTTCTTCAGTAATATGTTGTCCTCTCCTACCTTTAACCCTCGAATCTCTTTGAACCTACATGTGAAATAATCACATGCTAAGTCGTTGACTTAGTGAGGCAATAATGAGTATAATAAAACATTTAAAACACTTGCTTAATCAATCCATATAAAACATTTCATACTGAAATCAAGATACCTTTCATAACATAACATATAATGTTATTCATTATTCAATTTATATCACTTTATTATATTAGCCCAATGCATATTACTGAGAACTCAAGATATTTGAGTACATTGAGGTTGTTCACTAAGTTCCACATAGAATTGTCCCGAAGGACCGCGTAGAATTTATCCCGAAGGACCACGTAGAAATTTGTCCCGATGGACTGCGTAGAACCCTCGACTCTTGGCATGCCAACTATACCTCTAATTCTCATATATATACTATGGGCTTAAACCATATAATTATTTTTCATTTTATTATTCAAAATGTGTTTTATCCACGTAGAGCACATTCACATAGGGTATCTTCACGTAGAACATTTTCACTTAGCACATTTTCACATAGAACATTTTCATATAAAACATATTCACATATAACATTTTCACTTACCAAATAAATCAAAACAATACTTTGAAAATACACTTTATATAAAGCATCATAAAAATATTGCATAAAATAAATAAACTGTTTCTATCGAAAACTTCGACGTTGGCTTATCACAAGTCTTCTTCATATCTAATATAAAAATATAAGTTGCACTCACCTTTGCCTTACGTAAGTCCTAAATGGAATCATTTTCCTTTCATATAATCTCATACTATGTCTATTTCTTTGGTATAGTTTCGATCTAAATCTACACATAGACATGTCCAATGTCAATACTGAATTTCCGTTAACGTGTAACCAATTAGCACTTATGTAAACGAAACGAAAACTCCTAATTTAAATTTCAGACTGAATAGTATCGGTACCCCTCCTACAGTACCGATACTTCACTTCTATGGTACTGATATCCACTTCAGTATCGATACCATTTTAACATTCTGGAATTTCATTTCAATTACATACCTTCCTCTTGGTATCGATACCTCCACATCAGTATCGATAATGTTCATCCGATTCATTATATTCTCTTCAATTTAACCTTATAGTATCGGTACTGTTCTTCAGTACCATACCCTTACCCAGATTTCATTTATTCCATTTCAAATTTTACTTAAACTCACTTAAATCTCTTACCCTTAACTTTATTCAAGTCCTTAAACTCAATGTCATTAATTCCACACAACTTATATCCCTTTATCCTCTTTAACATCCCAAAATTCTCCATAAAATACTTTAAGATAAAAATCATACCCATCAATCAAACATGTTTTCAATCATTTCTAAGACTTGAAACACCTTAATTAAACTTTGACAAGTCAAATATGCATTTAGAATCCAATTGCTAACAGATTTCATAAATTACCTTAAAAACCCCTTTTTCCTAATTCACCATAATTTCTCAATCCCTTAGCTTTTAATCATCTTTAAGCTTTCCTTAAGCTTTTATATCACCTAAAGACTAAAAACGAAACCAAAAATACAAGAAACCATCAACCTTAAAATCACTTACCTTTGAAATGGTTTTCACGGGCAAAAAAGAAGAAGAAGAGAAAATGACCAATGTTTCTAGACTTTTCCTTCCTTATATCTAATTCCCACATGCCTTAAATCCTTTAAAAATGAATTTTAAATTCATTTCTTGCAAAAAGATCAATATGGCCTTCCATTTTTTCATCTTTGATAAGAATCCTAGATAATATTTTCTAAATCAATCCATGAACTTTTCAATTTATCAAAATAAATTGCTAAATTTTAAATCCTTACATTTTAGTCACTGACCCGATGTTTGGGGTATTACAATTCCCCCATTAAGAAATTTCATACTCGAATTTTCACTGTACAAAAAGATGAGGAAATTGTCTTCTCATATCCTCTTCACGCTCTCATATCGTCTTTCTACTTTGTGATTTCTCCAGAGAACTTTAACTAACAGAATCGTCTTGTTTCTCAGTTGTTTGACTTCATATATGAAAATCTGCACTGGTTCTTCCTCATTGGTCAGGTCAGATTAAACTTCTATTTCTTCCGGTGCTATGATGTGCGAAGGATTTACTCGATATCTTATAAGCATTGATACATGAAAGACATTGTGGATCTTTTCCATTTATGGAGGCAATGCTAACTGATATGCCACTAGTCTAACTCTTTTTAAAATCTCATAGGGTCCAATGAATCTAGGACTGAGCTTTTCTTTGCGTCTGAAACGAAGAATCTTCTTCCAAGGTTATACTTTGAGAAACACTTTGTCGCATACTTGGAATTAAATCTTTTCTCTTCAAATCTGCGTAGGACTTCTGTCGATCAGCAGGTATCTTAAGATTATTTTTGAATAATCTTCACTTTTTCTTCAACTTCTTTAATTAGACATAGGCCCATTAAGCTCGATCTTTCAATTCAAACCAATTTAATGGTGTTCAACATTTCTTCTATATAAAGCTTTGTAGGGTGCCATCTTGATATTAAATTGATAACTATTGTTATAAACAAACTCTACGAGTGGCAGATACTTCTCCCATGATCCATGTAAATCAATCACACATGCCCTTAACATATCTTCTAGAACCTAAATCGTCTGTTCCGATTGACCATCTGTCTGTGGGTGAAAAGCCATGCTAAAATTCAATCGGGTACCCAATGCTCCTTATAAATACTTCTAAAACCTCAAAGTGAACCTTGGATCCTTATAAGATACTATTAAAACTGGCACTCCATGAAGTTGAATTATTTCCTTGAGGTATAATTCTACATACATATCCATTAAAAAATCAGTTCGAACAGGAATAAATGCGCGGTCTTTGTTAAACTATCCATAATTACCCAAATTGAGTCATTTTTGTTCGGTGTTAGCAAAGGTAAACCCGTTAGGAAATCCATCGTAACTTTTTCCTATTTCTATTGAGGAATAGAGATCGGTTGTAATAGTCTTGAAGGTACTCGATGTTCAGCTTTCACTTGTTGGTAGGTTAGACATTTTACAACAAACTCTGTAATGGCTTTTTTCATGCATGGCCACTAATATCTTCCTTTTAAGTCTTGGTACATCTTGCTCCCTCCTGGATACATAGTCAAAAGGCTAAGATGTTCTTCAGAAAGAATATATCTCTTCAACTCTTCATCATTTGGAATATAAACTCTATCTCTGTAGTATAAGTATCCATTTGACTTTACTTCAAAGTCCTTGATTTCACTTTTTTCTACTTGTTCCAATTTGGCTAAACATTTATCATCTTTCCTTTTTAACTCTTTTATTCGTTCCAACAATAGATGTATTTTCTTCAATTCATCCATCAGAGCACCATTGTTCTTTAATGAAAATTGGGAATCTAACATGCGTAAAGCTGCAAAAGTCTTTCGGTTAAGTGCATCAGCTACCTTGTTGGCTTTCCCAAGGTAATAATCTATGATAGCATCATAGTCTTTAAGTAGCTCGATCCATGTACTTTGTATTAGGTTTAGCTCCTTTTGAGTTAGAAAATCCTTCAAATTTTTGTGATTCGTTTAAATGTAACAACGCTCACCATATAAATAGTGGCGTCATATCTTTAGTGCAAACACAACCGCTATTAACTCAACATCGTGTGCCGGATAGTTCTTCTCATGTGGCTTAAGTTGTCTCGAAGCATAGGCTACTACTTTTCCATCTTACATCAAGACACATCCCAGACCATTATGGGAAGTATCACTATAAATTGTATAGTCCTTGACCGATTCTGGTTGCACTAGCACTGGAGCTTCCGTTAACGCATTCTTTAAGGATTCAAAACTCTCTTGGCATTTATCCGTCTATATGAAAAGAAAATCTTTCTTTAACAACTTGGTCAAAGGGGAGGAAATCATCGGGAAGTCTTTAACAACCCTTCGATAATATCCAACCAATCCAAGAAACTTCGCACTTCAAAAATATTTCTTTGGACTTCCTAATATAATATAAATTTAATATTCTGAGGATATACCTGAATCCCTCTTCAGATACCACATATCCAAGGAATACCACTTCCGTTAACCAAAATTCACACTTAGACAATTTAGCATAAAACTTTTTGTCTCGTAATTTTTGAAAAATCACTCTAAGGTGGGCGTCATGCTCTTCATTTATCTTTGAATAAACCAAGATATTGTCAATGAAATTACCACGAAATGATTGAGGTACGGTTAGAAAACTCTATTCATGAGGTCCATTAGTTAATCCAAACGACATTACTACGAATTCGTAATGGCCATACCGAGTCCTAAAAGTTATTTTTGGAATATCCTTTTCTTGTATCTTCAACTGGTGATAGCCAGAGTGTAAATAAATCTTGGAAAACATTGAATCTCCCTTAAGTTGATCAAATAAATCATCGATTATTGGGAGAGGATATTTATTCTTTATTGTCACTTTGTTAACCTGTCGATAATCAACTCATAGATGCATCGAATCATCTTTCTTCTTTACAAATAACATCGGCGCACCCAAATGTGATACATTGAGTCTGATAAATCCTTTATCCAATAGCTCTTACAACTGAGCCTTTAACTCACTTAGTTCTTTTGGGGCTATTAGGTAAGGAGCCATCGAAATTGGTGTCGTTCCAGTCAAAACTTCAATTTGAAATTCCACCTCTTTATCTGGAGGTAACCCCGGTAATTCCTCTGGAAATACTTTTGGAAATTCTGGATTGTCGGAATGTCTTCCAATCTCTTCTTCTTAACTCGTGTATCGACCACATTGGCAATGAAATCTTGACATCCTTGTAACATTAGTTTCTTAGTCGACATTACCAATATCACATTAGCTAAAGGATTGAGTCTCTCTCTTACCACACTTACTTATGATCCATCAGAATTTCTCAAAACTACTCGATTCAATTGACAGTTAACATTGGCATAGTAACGATAGAACCAATCCATTCGCAGAATAAATTCAAATTCATCAAAGGGTAATTCCATCAGATTAGCAGGGAATTCAATTCCCTGTATCCTTATGAGACACCCTCGACACAATTGATTCACTCGAGCACTATCTCTAACGAGTTAGTCACTATCACATCATTACTTATAACTTCTAGTTGGATTTTCAATTTCTCACCAACTTACTACCAATATAAAAATAAATTGATCCGTGTCAATCAAAACTAAAACATGTTTATTAACTAACTGAAAAGTACCTACAATGATCTTCGGATCATCGCGATCTTCACTAGTCTTAAGATTGTAGACCCAAGCAGTCAAGTGCATTTCAGGTTGAGTGGCTGACTCAGACTGATTTATTCCTCAGCCTCGGCCTCTACCTCTGTGAGGTACAGTAGTAGATCTCTCAGACTGTGCATGATCTTCGGTCATTAAAGGACAATCCCAGATAAATATCATATGTCCCCACATATGAAACATGCACCGGAGACCATTCGACATATGCCACTATGATTTTTGCCACAATGTTGACATTGACTTGGCCTTCTAACTCCTGATTTATAAGAGTGAGTCTGCTTTAACTCTTACTGGGTTTGATCCTCTACCTGAGGATGCAACTGATTCAGATCTAGTTTGAGGTCGAATCGGATTTCCTTTAATTACGATACACTCGACAAAGTAACCGTTCTCTTGTTTCACTAGGTTTTCTACTCCTCATATCTTTTATTCTAAGTCCGCTCTAATGTTTTAGCTCGATTTACCACCTATTGAAATGTTGAAAGGTTCAGCGCTAACAGCAGCTCCTTCAATCTGGGGCGCAAACCCTTCATGAACCAATTACATGAGTCTTTTTTTGTATAGACCAATTCAGTTACAAATCTGCTCAACTTATTAAACTCACACTCGTAGTCATGCACAGTGCGATTCCATTGTTTCAAACTCATGAATTCTTGTTTCATTTGCTTGATGAACTGATCACCGATATACTTATTCTTAAACTCTTCCAAAAAGAACGACCATGTTACTTGGTCCCTAGGAGCTCTCATCGTTACGTTAGTTCACCATATTCGTGCTTGTCCTCGTAGAAATGAGACTACTTCATTCAGCTTCTCTATTTCAGAACAATGGAGACCATCTAGCATAATCTTCACATCGTTTAGCCAAAGATCCACAGAAACGGGACATTCCTTATATTCTCCTCTAAATTTCGGTGCTCCTAGACTTTTAAGCTCCTTTTCCACATTCATCTTAGGAGTTGAGGGATCAAGAGGTTGGAAACGTGTCAGAATCGTGTCCAACGTCCTGAAAAAGACTCATTGATCTTGCACAGGCACTCCTAGAGGCTCATGTTCTTCATCTTGCCTAAATGGGGCATATGAATTGCTACTTCCCTCATGACCATCTCCCGCTTCACTTCGAGAGCCCTCGTAATCCAACATCTGTTAAGATACAATCACTAACTATATCAATAAGGACAACATACCAATTACCTTATCAAATAAGAGATTTTTAAATTTTCGTTGGCATGTACACTTTTTAAAACATAAACTGCTTCGTTTTTAACTTAAAATCGTTAAACCATGGCTCTGATACCAATAAATATAACACTCCCAACCCGTATCCGACCCAGATACAAATCTGAGGTGTCACATTGACTTTTCAAAACTTTGACTTGTTGAAAACTCATTGAAAATTTAAACTTTTACTTATATTTAATGGTGAACCTTATACAAACATTTACATTGAAAATTTATAATCATAATGAAAATAAAACTTATTATATTTTATTACTTTAAAATAGTGTACTTACAAAATGGATCATAGCATAACAATTTAAAGCTTTACAATACATGACAACAAAATCACAAAATAATAATAAACATACAGTTCAAATTTATTTTGATCTGATCTTCTTCAGTAGTATGTTTTCCTCTCTTAGCTTTAACCCTCGGATCTCTTTGAACCTACGTGTGAAACAATCACACTCTAAGTCGTTGACTTAGTGAGGCAATAATGAGTATAATAAAACATTTAAAACACTTGCTTAATCAATCCATATAAAACATTTCATACTAAAATCAAGATACCTTTCATAACATAACATATATTGTTATTCATTATTCAATTTATATCACTTTATTATATTAGCCCAACGAATATTTATGAGACTCAAGGTATTTGTGTACATTGAGGTTGTGCACTAATGTAATCACCATTGGTCATATAATTTGTACGAAGTGCCACATAGATTTTTCCCGAATGACCGCGTAGAATTTGTCCCGAATGACCACATAGAAATTTGTCCCGAAGGACCGCGTAGAACCATTGACTCTTGGCATGCCAACTATACCTCTAATTCTCATATATATACTTTGGGCTTAAACCATATAATTATTTTTCATTTCATTATTTAAAGTTTGTTTTATCCACGTAAGCACATTCACATAGGGTATTTTCACGTAAAACATTTTCACTTAGCACATTTTCACATAGAACATTTTCATATAAAACATATTCACTTACCAAATAAATCAAAACATACTTTGAAAATACACTTTATATAAAGCATCATAAAAATATTACATAAAATAAAAAAGACGTTTTCGATCGAAAACTTCGAGGTTGACTTATCACAAGCCGTCCTCATATCTAATATAAAAATATAAGTTGTACTCACATTTGCGTCACGTAAATCCTAAACGTAATCCTTTTCTTTTCGTACATTCTCGTACTATATTGATTCCTTCGGTACGGTTTCGATCCAAATCTACACATAGACATGTCCAATATCAATACTGAATTTCCGTTAACGGGTAACCAATTAGAACTTACGTAAACGGAAAGAAAACTCCTGATTTAAGTTTCAACTGAATAGTATTGGTACCCCTCCTACAGTACCGATACTTCACTTCTATGGCACCGATACCCACTTCAGTATCGATACCATTTTGGCATTCTGGAATTTCATTTCAATTATAGTATTGATACCTTCCTCTTGGTATCGATACCTCGACATAAGTATCGATAATACTTCAATCAGTATCGATATTATTCTTCTGATTCATTCTATTCTCTTCAATTTAACATTATAGTATCGGTATTGTTCTTCCAGTACGATACCCTTACCCATATTTAATTTATTTAATTTTGAATTTTACTTAAACTCACTTAAATCTCTTACCCTTAACTCAATTCAAGTCCTTAAACTCAAAATCATTAATTCTACACAACTTATATCCCTTAATCCTCTTTAACATCCCAAAATTCTCCATAAAATACTTTAAGCTAAAAATCATACCCATCAATCAAACATGTTTTCAATCATTTCTAAGATTTCAAACACCTTAATTAGACCTTTGACAAGTAAAATATGCATTTAGAATCCAATTACTAACCAGATTTCATAAATTCCCTTAAAAACCCTTTTTCCTAATTCACCATAATTTCTCAATCCCTTAGCTTCTAATCCTCTTTAAGCTTTCCTTAAGCTTTTATATCACTCAAGGACTAAAAACCAAACTAAAAATACAAGAAATCATCAACCTTAAAATCACTTACCTTTGAAATGGTTTTCACGGGCAAAAAGGAAGAAGAAGAGAAAATGACCAATGCCTTAATTCTTCAAAAAGACTAATATTCCCTTCCATTCTTCAATCTTTGATAAAAATCCTAGACAATTTTCCAAATCAGTCCTTAAACTTTTCAATTTATCAAAATAAATCTCTAAATTTTAAATCCTTACATTTTAGTTATTGACCCGATGTTTGGGGTATTACATGTCATCTTCTTTGCTATCATGTGCATCGTTGGATCACCTATATGTCACGAATTTAGGGGTTTAAGTTCACTGAAGATGCGATTTTGGATCACTATTTTACCATTTTCTTCGTCAAATATGTGACATTTATGGTCGAGTTTGACTTGTCGTAGGGTGGAGTTTTGCTGGAGGTCTGATCAATGTCAAAAAATGATGACCAACGTGGGTTTAGGGATTAAAATTGGAGTTTTCAAAGTTTTAACATATTTTAAAAAATTTCAATTTTTTACATATAATTATATTTTTTATTTATTTTTTAAAAAATTACCATAACGTGACACGTGTTGTAGTATCCCAAATATTAGATCAGGGATTATATAGAAAAGATTTGAAAATTTAAGATGCAATTTAAGATGCACTTTGGTCTTTTAAGAGGGGAAAGGAATTTTAAAATATATTAGGGATTTTTAAATAGGAAGAAAGAGGGAAGTAAAACATTTTTACTATTATTCTTCTTCACGTTGGTGTGCTCTCCTCTCTAGCATAAGGTAAAGTTTCCATTAGTTAGTGTTTCCTTTAAATTATGGGTTGCTTTTGTAACATTAAGTGATATATATGCATAAGGAAGGCTTAGATGGGATTAAAATGAGGAGATAAGGGAAATAATGGGGATTTTATAAAATGGGTTTTGAAATGATATGTTAATATATGAGTGTTTATTGATGTTTATTGGTAGATTTAACTTGTCAAAGAGCTAAATGAGAGATTAGAAATATTGGATGAGTTTAAAAACAAGATAAAAATTTTGGTGTGATTCTTAGATTCAAAAAATCTTGAGAGATACTAGATGTTTTAAGTATCTAAATGAGGGAAAGTTAATATGTATAAGTAATGAAGAATTTGGTAGCATTATGGGAGGTAATCCTAACGAAATTTTACCTCGTTTTGTAATAATCGGGTTAAAACTGGAACTGGGCACGAGTATCAGTACTGATAGAACAGTACCAATATTATAGTCTAAAATGGGATAAATCAACTGCGTAGTATCGATACTGATTCAATCAGTATCGATACCGAAGGAGAAGTATCAATACCGAAGGGAAGGTATCGATACCATTTTAAAACATAATGCAAAAATGGTATCGATACCATGGAAAGTTATCGGTACCATAGCATGGTAGTATCGATACCATGGTAGGGGTATCGATACTGGGACCCAGAAATTTTATGAAAGGCTAAGATTGTTGTGGAAAGGTAATAATAGGTACTTTTGATTAATGTTTAAGTATGATTATTAGGAAATATACTAATAATTGATATTATACATGTATTTAATGAATATGGAATAGATCGACATCAAGCTCCCGAGTCGAGTAAATCAAAAGGCAAAGGCCAAATTCTGGAGTAATCATCTTTACATTTCGGATATCTAAGCAAGGCAAGCCAGGTGAGTACATTTATTCTATGCAATATATTTAAAGACAATATGCCATAAGTCCAATTAAAATGTGTAAATTTTAAAGTATGTTGTATAGTAGTTACTAAGTTTTATTTAATGTATGGAAAGAATATTATGAATGAGTTTTATAGTATGAACTGCTCTAGAACAAATGAATGAAAGAATAATGCATATGGGTGCATTATTGGAATGAAAGGATGTCATAACTGAAATGTATATGGGTGCATTATTGACATAAAAGAATAATGCATATGGGTGCATTATTGGCATGAAAGGATTCCATAGCTGAAATACATATGGGTGTATTATCGGCATAAAAGTATACTCTATTTGAAATGCATAATGGTTTATTATAAACATGAATGGAATATAGTTCAACTGAGAAGGATTATAAAATCCTTAAAGAATATACAATTCGATGAGAATTAAATAATATGACATACTTATATACATAAAGGTTTCTTTACAATATTGTATCTCACTATGTAAATACTTAATGTGTGTTGCTTTCACGCGTAGGTAAAAGTGGAGACTAATCCAGTAAGGAGTGCAGCCGTATCAGCAAATATCATCCATTAAAGTTGACTCACCAGTAACATTAGGACAATAGTAATCATTTTGAAAAATTGTTTGGCATGTAATTAAATTTAACCAAAATATTTTGTAATATATCTTAATGAGTACTACTTATTATGTTAATGCATGTGGAATTAAGTTTGCAACAAAATTTTAAAGGGTTTTCAAAATGAGTAAATAGTTTTTAAAGTGACGTGACATCTGTATTCGTATATGGAAACATATACATGATATGAGTGTTACACGTGTCACTTAACGGTGAAATTTAACGGTCATTACGACCCAGATATCTAAAGCGTAACGTTTATAACGTTAGGTGCCTAGGTGATTCAAAAAATATTGGACACCTATTTGAGAAAAATGATATAACTTGGACACTTATTTTATAATTAAGCCATTCAAAAAAGCTCTAATGAAATAATAACATAGAATAAATTTTAGAATTATCACATCAT